TCCCACCAGAGGACCTTGTGCTGCATTTTTCGCAGTCGTTCCTGAAAAGGTCTTAAAGTGTATGTAATTATACTCACTTGGATTACAAACCCTAAAAAACCAGCATTCTAATAGGTGGATAAATAACTATATTTATTTTTTATCAGTGAAAATGAAGCAATCTGATTGGCTGAGGAGCCTTTCAGAGCGGGCCGGTTTTTTGCATCCGGCCCGCTCTGAAACGCAACTGCATGCCCGCTGTGAAATGCAACTGCCCGCTCTGGTTTTCGCGCCAAAAACCGAGGAGTGAAACAACTTTTAAACGAAATAATATGCCAAAAACGTTTGAAAAACATAGCCTAACGATAATCAAAATACGAAAATGACTTGCATCAAGCCCTAAAGACTTCATACTAAGCACGATGTTCACCAGAATTGACAATATTTTGATAGAAATGCGACTGAAAGTCGAAAGTTATTGACATGTATAAAACTTCAATACGTCGAGAAAACTATATATTTTTTAAATGCTTATGTATTCGGCCACATAAAAGCGAAAAAATTACAGCTTAAACAGATATTGTAAAATAAATGTTTTCCCATTTAAAAGAAGGTTTAACTGCAGAAGTGAAAACAAGTCACGAATATATTCTCTACCCATTTGTGTCGTGCATTTTCCACTGACATAAATATTGCAAACAAAGTAAAAGTTTGTGTTTAAAAACACTTTTTTCAAGCATATTATCGTGAAACGACAAGAAAAAATACAAAAATATAAAAATAACATACCTTTTTCATTGTCCTTTTAGTAGAAAAAACGTTGATTAAATCAAAACAGATTCATTTTATATGTTTTTGATCGGATCTGAACATGAACCTGTCGTTGTCAGGAGCAGCTGATTTTGCCAAAGTCAAAGCCAAAACGCCAGGCTTAAAAGTTTTTATTCCAAAGCTTTTCTGCTATACCATATTCATGAAAAAAGCATGTACATTTTTACTGAAATTATACGTCTTTTTGTGTGTTTCTTGCCTGTTTTCTCGAGTTTTCGTATATTCGTGTTTTTAATATATCTTTCAACTTTTCAATATATATATACATATATATATATACATATATACATATATATATATACATATATATATATATATATATATATATAGGGGCAACATAGTCTGCATGCATGGTTACTTTAACATGCCAGAACGTCTTGGTCAAATATAACCAGATTCCTGGTTTCAACAAAGTGAGATAAAGTATAACCAGGAATTTAACAAGAAATATCAAGTTAACCCAAATAGAGTTATTTCTGAGTTAACCTCGCAATTTTAACACGAGTGATTTTAAAGTGTAAATAGAAGAAATATGGTTTTTCACAAAAACAACATATCTTTGTTCTTAATAGGAACCAACTTTTATCGTCACAACAGGTCAACAACCCAATACAATATTGATTACCGCAACACAAGGACGCTCGGCTTGCAACCAGCAGCCACCAGCAAATACAGTGGTGATGACCACACAAGCATACCCGGCCTACAGCCAACAGCCACCACCTTATGATCAACCTGCTGGTCAAGGTCAAATGGTCGTCGATAGCAAAGCTTATTGATTACATTTTTTACATATAATTACCATAGCTTTTTAGGTCATATAATGTATTATTAAAGGCCTATAGCCTATATTTGCATGAACAATTATCGGTATTGATATAGAACTGAACTATGCATGCACCTATACCTAAATATATATATATATATATATATATATATATATATATATATATATATATATATATATATATATATATATATATATATATATATATATATATATATATATATATATATATATATAGTTCAGTATAAGTTTTATTTGTGCACTATCAAATTAAGAGAATTCGAAGAATCTTGTGTATGTTACGTAAAACGCGCACAACACTATAATGACTATATACTGTACTTTTCCACTTGGTTATGACTATATTCAAATTCTTTGAAACGTTTCTCAAGCGGCAAACAAACTTAAAAAGTATGTTTAGTGCTTTATCTGTGAAATTATGCTAAAATGAAGAGATTTTAGATGTTACGCCAAAGAGAAAATGATGACATATATGATATATATGATATATATAATATATATAATATATATATATTATATATATATGATATATAATTTATTCTAGTTTTATGTTTGCACTATAATTTTAAAATATATCGCTTTTACACTGGTCTTTCGCGTGCTTATTTATATGTCGTCTTTGTGTGTATTTTTGTCACTCTGAACAAGTCCATATAATAAACAGAACATTAAACGGTTGCGAGAAGATATGGATTTATGTTCTCGTGTCAAAAACAATATCTCACTCGTGCGCTGCGCTCACTCGTGAGATATTGTTTTTGCCACGCGAACATAAAATCCATATCTCTTCGCAACCGTCTAATATCCTCTATATAAGTGTTACTTTTCGATCAAAGTGTTTCGAATTCGATCAACAAATTCCTCAATTAAGTTTTCTTATAGCTCCAATAGCTGAGCAATTGTTTCTTATACCTGCAATATTTTACTACTGGCAATGAATTCAATATGCTTTCCCCAATTTAAATACTCGTCAATTTGAACTCCAAGCACTTTGGCATATTTCACTCATTTGATTGATTGGCTATCGATTTTAACTCCATGTTGGGCACCCGTAGGTATTTTTCTTATATATGCTAATGCACCATAAGGTTTCATAGTTTTGATCGTAGAGATTATAAATAACACTTTGGCGGGTACTTTTTTGAAAACGACGTGAAAAATCTAAACGATCTGAAAACACTTTTTCAAATATTTAACTGTAAATTAACTTATAATGATTATATTCACAATTATAGTTATACAAATCCCTTATTCACTGCGTACAATCTCAGATTTGGAAAAGGCAGTGCCCAAAAATGGCGGCGTGAGAAAGGCTAATTCGCTCTGTGCAACAGCCGTAAATTATTTTATAGTTATTTTATATTGCAATTATCCAGTTATTGCAATATGGTGTTATTTATAATCTCTATGGTTTTGATGGCATGTAAAGGTCCAGACACACCGGACGCAATTCGACAACGGGACGCGATTTTTTAGTTTTTGAAAGTTAATAAAACAGCCAATGAAAGCAAATTTTGAAAGATATGTAGACCAAATAACACAAAATGTTATAGAGCTTCTAAATATTTGGAAAATTTAAACTAGGATCAAAGTTATCGGTCAGTGAAAATAAAAAAGTCGCGTTGTCGAATCGCGTCCGGTGTGACTGGACCTTAACATGTACGCACTGCGTACCTATTTTTCTAAGATATAATCAATTAATCATGTCGATTAGCGTTGTTGTTTAATGTTCGCAACTATAAATGCTAATTGTTTAAAAATTTTATCAGAGGAGCGGTAAATTTAGATTTGGATTTTTAGGATGGAACGAATTGTGAGAATTGAAATTCGCCTTTTGTTTCAGTTCCCGCCATTTTTACAATAAGTTGATCTGTCCCACTATGGCTTGCGGTCGGGTCAAGGTACGTGTGCTAAAAGGCCAGAAGCTCAAAAGAAACGTTGAATCCTAATCAAGTTTCAGATTGATTCCGAGAAATCATATGCTCAGGTGGATTCATCAGATTCGAATCTAAAATCGATAATCGGATTTGAAGGTCCAAATCCGGATTGCACTAAAGGATCACTCCCCAGAAGCTAGTGCTGTAAGGAATCAAGGAATCCTACACAGAGCAAATTAAACAGATTGTATAAAAAGCGTATGTTGTGCCTCATTGGCATACATTGTACAGAATCATATATTGCTTGCTGTATTGCTAACTTTAGCGGTTTAGCCGCTTAAGTTTTATTTAATAGTCATTATAATACGACAATACATTATATGCGGGTGTGATTGTATGCTTACTACTTGCTCCTAAACAATGCTTGCAATAAATTGTGATATTTGGCACCAGACTTTTATAGCTCTTTCGAGTATGTCTATTTAGACTTCGAGTATGTCTATTTAGACCACTTGTGCGATATGCATTAATTATTGAACATCCGTACACATGCTCACGCATGCTAATCGCAGAGCAACGTGTGTTTTTTCTTTTCGCAAATTCCCACTTTCTAGCCAATAGCGAGTCTTGGAATGAACACGCGTCACAATGCATGTCAGATTGATGACATAGGCAGGACTACAGGATTTTTTTTAAACGGTCCCTAGCAGTCATTGTGCTGAACAAAACTAAACAGAACTTACTAGCGAGTCTTTCATCTTTTGGAAATTCTCAAGAACCAGCGAAAAAATGACCATGTCAGAGGGTATACGAGTGGGCTCGATCACAATTGGATGTTCGCTGTTGGTACTCACATTCATCTCCATGATTTGTGGTAGTGTCGCGAAGAGCAAAATGAGCAGCCCAGGTGCTGTTAGTATCGGCTTATGGGGACTTTATGTAAGTATAACATTTCACCTAGTGGTTTGCATTTTCAGTGTATCTAATTTGATTAGCGTTGAAGAAGATTGCATTTCCGTAGGACATGTCCCTACAATACCGGACAGATTTAGGCTAGAATTTTATGTCCTACCATATTTTACAGTTTTCGAAAAGAGTTGTATGTATGACGGTGCCTTAGTGACTTATGACGGTGCGTATATGGGAAATCGCTACCCATCGCTTTTAAAACACGACATTTCTATAAATGATGTATCTATATAAAATTCTATATGTGCATGCTAATTCTTTATGCTAGTTTTTGAACATGTAATAATTTGTTATTGTTTTACAAGCCCATCGTGGAAACAAGCTTTAGCTGACAATGTTAACGTTATAGCGTGGTTAAATAAAGTTTCAAATTATAGGGTGGCGCGGACATCGGTTAGGCGCCGCTATACCGAGTGCCTCACGCACTCGTGGATTAGCAAACAAATGTGATTGACATAAGCTGCCAGTCTATCAGTCACATTTGTTAATATCTAATCCTTACTTGAGTTCCGAATTCCGCACTATATTCTACAGGGTATATAAAAAAAACTGAACAGATTTGAAATTGCTCTCAATTTCGCAAAACAGCTATTAGTATCCCGTTTTTGACATATATAGCTTCTTTGGGTAGTTATAATGTAGAACAATGAAAAAAAATACTCGAAGTCAAATTTTGTAAACCAGGGCGGGGGGGGGGGGG